ATCTAGGCTTATTGCATTAATAGTAAAGGAGTTATGCAATAGAAGTAACTTCACGTTACTTTGTATAAATAACTTCATGATTTTAAAGTTCAATTACAAACACTTTTACGAACTTTTTTTTTTTTTTTAGCGGGTGTCTATTGACTTTGAGAAAGAAGTTGCATAACCTGTACTTACAGCAGTTTAGGAAATGGTGACTTGGAATCATTGTGGAATAGTGGGAAATAAGGATAGCTAGATCACACCTGGGCTGTCACCTACAGGGACAAAAACTTTGACCTTATTGGATTATGGAAGGCTCAACAATGTGACATATATAGGAGTGCTTTGTAAATTATAAAAGTGCCTTGTAGCTGTAACACCTTCATTGAGTTAACCTTTATTTTCCTTGACATAGCTATTGGGATGGTAAATTTTTAGTGGAACTCTAGAGATTTGATTTGCAAAATGTGTATTTAGGTTGCACAGAAGAGTGGTCCGAGGGAAATGGTTTTATGTCATTTTTAATGTAGTTATTTCTGACAATTGCTCTCCCTCCATGCCGTCAGACTAGAGGTCAGGTATGTAGTGTTTGACGTTGCTTTCATCACCATGCTTATAGTCCAGAATGTGAATGTACACGCGTGTGTGCCTGGTGGGGTTTTTGTTTTGTTCTCTTTTGTTGCTTATTGTATGTCTGTGTTGTTGTGGTTTTCTGTTTTGTTTTGTTCTGTTTTGGTTTGGTTTGTTTACAGTCCATGTTCATGCTCCCTCATTCATCATTGTCTCACAGTGATATGGTAAAGCTCGTACACGTCCCCAACGATGGAGGGCCTCTGGGAATCCATGTAGTGCCTTTCAGTGCTCGAGGCGGCAGGTAACGTATCTTGGAGGTTTTTAATTGAATCATAATGTGGAGTGTTTTATCTTCATTTATGCTCAGATATAGAGTGGTGTTGATTTAGCTTATGCTTAATGGAAACATTGTCATTTGGGGCAGCTGCCACTTTGTCCGTACGTATATACATTATAATCATAGACAGCACGTAGGCTGATGAAGAAACTGAGCATTTAAATTATCCTAATAATTTTATTGTTCGTCACATCCGTGAAGACATTTTACTTTGTTAAAAATTGCTGATGGACTTTAGAGTCAGAACTCCAGATGAATTCGCAAAGTTAAGGGTGAGCTTAAAGCAATTTTCTGGAAAAATTTTTTCCAATAAAAATTATTTGGATAACTTAGGTAATGATCCATTTGAAATTCATTTTTATGTTTAGTTCTTAATTTTATAAGTTCTTTATGATTTTGTTTGACATTTTGAAAAGTTAGACAAGCTATGGATTTATTTCCTGCCACGTGGCCTGTGGCTCCTTCCGTTCAGTGGTCTCTGCACATTCAAATGTCAAAATTTTGTACTTTTTGTTAAGACTTTATTACTTTATAGACCATATATTCTTCAAATGTTATATGAGTTGCTTTTATTCTGCTGCTTTTTCCTGTGAAAGAATTATTGTTTTTGTTTGTTTTAGTATATTCAAATACACATTATAGCTTGATTTTGCAACTAATGGTTGTTGGGCCTCTGCATGGATAAGTGAGTGCATTGCATTCTCCCCAGGAGCGTTAACCAGTACACATTTAACTTGTTGATGTTTAATCACATCCTTTTTTATTTACCCATCTAGTGATTACCCAGAGAAAGGTGTTTATGAACTCTTTGGCTTCGTATTCTGAACTTCTTTCTTGTATTTTTATTTATTTATTAATTTTTAAAAATTTTAACTTTATTGACACTGGGAGAAGGAGATGCTGAAAAGTTGCCTTAGAACAGTGACCGAGAACTCAGAACATGGTTTAAACTCTGACCAAGGAATTACAAGCATATCATAAGTTGTAAAAGACAGACGCTATATCACTTACCAAACTTGTGATGAAATTATCTATTTAATTATTTTAATGGATATTTGAACAATTGTACTACCTTCCTGGTGTATGTTCCAACTGTGGCAAGTGCAGATTTCATCTCTTTGGTAAAGTACATGCTTTATGGAATGTCTGGTTGCTGAAACTTTGATTTACCCAGAACTCTGCTAGAGCATGAGACTTGAATGTTAATGTTATGCAACAAGATGTGAAATTCACCTTGAATTTGGGAGTGGTGTTACATTCGCAGAGTTGTAGCTGCTTTCACTTGTTTCCGCCTATTCTTCTTTTTTTAATTTTAAACTCCGAGAAGCATTGAAATTTCTTCAAAGAACTTCCAGTTAAACATGCTTAGTTGTTTTCAGAATGGCTCTTGCCTGCACTTCCTTTAAAAATATAATTTAAAATAATCTCAAAAGTTAAATCTTTTTCCATTTATATCATAAGTAGACAAAAAAGGTAAAATACTTGGATTATAGCTTCCCAATACTAATGTGTCTTTAACTGCTTGTGGAATATAACTCATGACAAATGAGATTTAATTGTGTATGTACCAGCTTTGAACCAGCATTTGAATGACAAACGTGTTATTTTCTGTCATTTATTATATACTTCCTACCTCAGTGTAAAAGGATATTAGGACAAAATAAATCGATGAAAAGCCTAAAGCAAAAGGAGAATAATACAGAAAAACCTACTATAGATTAATTCAATGGAAGGCATTTCACAAAATCCACCAGTTACTGGTTACCATGGTGTGTTTAGTTTCAATATACAGAATACATTTATGTAGACACATATCCCTTTGCAGAACTAGAAGTTTTTTTTTCAGCCGAGTCATTTTTAATCCCTTTTGATTTGGCAGTTAATGAAGAAAATCTCGTGTAGCTTTCCTATATAAGGGAAAAATAGATTAAGAAAAGCAGATTCCCTATAAATTTGTAATAGGCATGAGCAGCTTTCATATTGGGAAACAACTATTTTGGTTTTTTCCAACGCCTGTGTTGCCCCTTTGTTTCCTCATGGACTTGACAGTAATAGTTCTTCAGAGTTATGTGGACAGTGGGGGAGAAAAAGCAGGCAGCCTTCTCAGAATCATAGATACCAATCTTCAGAAGCAGAAACACCTGTCTCCCTTGTTCTCAGAAATGCTTAGAAGTGGATTCTTCTCATTCAGTTAGATACCTTCCCAAGCATTTACTGTGTGAGAATTCCTGTGTTAGGTGCTAGGAAACTAAGATGAACAGGATATAACCTTCCTCCAGGGATTTGCAGTCAAGGTGGAGTGATAGCCAAGAAATCACACAATTATAATTGTGTGATAAATGTTGATATAGTTATATAATAGGTTCTTTGTGAGCCGATAGAGGAAGTATTGTCTGAATTAGATTACTGGAGCTGGCTGGTGGGGAAAGGTGATTTTAAATGTGATGATAGCTTGTAAAGGAAACCACATCAGCTCCATGGTGGCTGTGAGGGCAAATTAAGCAATTCAGTACAGCAGAAAGGAAGAAATTAAGTAGAACTCATGACAAAATTGCAAATATATCTAGTGGGAATACAAAAAATACATATTCATGGGATGTAAGTAGAAATTTCCAAAAATAACTTCCCTTGTAAAAAATTCCAATCATACTTGGGCCTTCTCAATTTTCGAGATATAACTAAATGAATAACACTTACGGAATACTTACAGGCATACAGCAGGTCCTTAGATAGCATCATTTCAATGTTGTTTTGTTATAATGTTGATGAGATGCTATAGGAACTTAACTCTTGTTTATATCAATTAGCCTGTGGTAAAATTGGTTTCCTTATGCGTCATTTCACTGCAATTCCAAGAATTTATTGATGATAAGTGAGGACTTACTGTACCTCGTTTTATTGCATTTTACCTTATTGAGCTTTGCAGATATTGCATTTTTTACAAATTGAAGATTCTCCACCAGCAAAAAGATTATCACTCACTGAAGGCTCAGATGAATGTTAGCAATTTTTAGCAATAAAGTATATTTTAACTAAGGTATATACATTGTTTTCAAAGATATAATGCTATTGTACAACCAATAGACTACAGTATAGTATAAACATAACTTTTATATGCACTGGGAAACCAAAAAATTCATGTGACTTGCTTTATATTGTGATACTCGCTTTATTGCCATGATTTGGAACTAAACCTGCAGTATCTCCAAGGTATGCCTGTAATTTTATAAAAGTGACACATATATGTCAGTGTTGCTTCCTGATTTATATTTCAAAGTAAAAAAGTATAAGGAACAATGCAGAATGGGAATTGTGTATCATAAACTGAAGCAAATATCATAAACTGAAGCAAAACAATGCAGAACATCTAGAATATCAAATATAATTCTAGAAAATAGGAAAAATGTGAAGTCAGTTATAGAAAAAAAAATTAAAGCTACTTTGCTATAGTTACGGCCTGAGGCATAATGAAGTTTTTGTTTGTTTTTTTGTTTTGCTTTGTTTTGCATTTAATTAAAGATCTTGCTGGGCCTACATAAAAAGGCTGTTTTCTAGAGTAGGTGGCTCCTTGAATGGCGCATCGGTGACAACTGGCATGTGGCTGCTCATCCCCCCACCACCGCCTCACATCCTGAGAAATGGGGACAAATAGATACATAGAAAAGACAGTATTATCTTTTCCTTGATGCTGTTTCTCTGTAGTCATCATCTGTATGTTATTCAAAAATAAAGTGAACTGATCCCCATCCAGAATTCTTTATTCACAGTTTTATTACCTTGAAATGAATTTTCACGTCATACATATAATTTCATTTTTTCCTGATTTAAATGTCAAACATAACATCCTTATTTAAATCACAAATGTTACTACTTTCAGAAAGTAAATAATTGTCATTTTCTATGGCAGAAAAACCACGTTTTTTATATATATTTTATATTTCCACAACTTGGCCCATAGGTATTGCTTAGTAAGGGAATGAATGAGCCTGTGACTATCTATATTAGCTATGGCATTACTGCATAAAAATAAAACAGTAAGGGCATGGGCTGGCTGAGTGGCGCGATGGTTAAGAACTGGCTTGGGGCGCCAGAGGACCCCGGTTCGGATCCCACATATGAGGGCCAGTGACACTGTCTTCCACAGCTAAGATGCTGAACAACAACTCAACCTGGAGCTGGGCTGCCGTGAGTCACTGGCGACGTAGGCTGCAGCCCCTGCTGCAGTGGGTTGCCATGGGCTACCGTGTGTAGCCAGCAGTCAGCGTGAGCGGCCAACAGCCGCTTTGAGCGGCCGTCCAGAAGCCGGCAACTGATCTGCCTCGCCCGGGAAGAGCGCAATGATGGTGCCAACTTGGGCCAGTGAAGCAACGTCCTCCACAACTAGACTGAAGAACAAAACGACAGCAACTTGTCTGTTCCCCTTCCCCCAATTCCCCAATAAAAATCTTAAAAAAAACCAAAAAAACACCCCCAAAACCAGTAAGGGCATATCCTGGCTTAATAGTTGTTAATGAGTTTTCCTGAGGCTTTCTAAACACATAGTAATGTGATTATGATGTATTGTAATGCTAAGTATTTAAAAAGCAAGATACAGAACAACAATATAATAATAACGGGGATACCAGAAGGAGAAGAGAGGGCTACAAGAACAGAGAGCCTATGAAAATAAATAGTCGATGAGAACTTCCCAAACCTATGGAAAGAACTGGGTCCTTGAATCCAAGAGGCAAACAGAACACCTAATTATCTCAATCCAGAAAGGCCTTCTCCATATTAAAACTATGAAAAATTATTGACAAAGAAATAATTCTGAAGGCAGCCAGGGAAAAGCAGATGGTCACCTATAAAGGAAAGCCCATTGGCTTACCATCAGAGTTTTCAGCAGGGATTCTACAAACCAGGAGGGGTTGGAGTCAAGTATTTAAACTATTAAAAGAAAGAAATTACCAGCCAAGGATAATGTA